GGGGAAGTTTATCCTACGCGTTCTCCACGTTAATATGCCAAGGTCTCGTGATACACGTGACCTATATCGGGCACTGGCCCGTGATAGATATACTATACCTAAGTAGCTTATAGTTAGCCGGGGGCTTTATAATCCTTAGCTTTCTACCTATATTAGCTATATTAATCTATAGGGAGAGAGTGGCTAGCTTACGGTCCCTCTTAGTAGTAAACTAGTCTAGTAAACGGTTACCGGAGATATCTAGGTTAACTTTACTAGAGCTAGAGGGACTAAAAGGGCTAGAAAGGGACGTCTACGCGAAACTACGGACGTTCTAGTCTATATTAGCGGACGAAGGGATAAAAAGCTTATTATCGGCTACTAAGAAGCGTTAGTATAGTTAATCTATTAAATCTCGACCGATTTTATCTAAAGAACGCGGGGATACTTATCTATAGGCTAAGTGTCAGCCTATGTAAGCGTGTGTGGCTATATGAAGTTGGTTGACTGTTAAGGAAGTATCTACTTTACAGGGTAGATGGCCTGTCAACTAGGTAGGAGAGGAAAGCACCAAGTCAGATTGAGACAAAGACTGTTTCTTGAGGAGCTTGAATCCCACTCCTCAAGCATCAATTTAAATACATCATCTTTTGTGCAAACAGGAATCAAACACAAAGTAAGGGGGAAACCATGGCGAAAGGCCACCGCATGGCCAACGCATGGCACATACTGTGGGCGTGGCCTACATGCAGCGTGGCTGTCGCATATCGCGGCCGAGGGGCCACCGACTGACCGCCGGATGGCTACCGCCTTGGCAGAACCCTCGGTCCACGCATGCCTGAGGCCCCAATATCAGTGTGTGAATAGTCTCATCGAAATATCATAACATTGACCGTGCGGCCCGCTGGCTGACGGCCCGGACCGGACCATCGTTTTTCCTATCCTTTCTCCGGGGAAAAACCATATCTCTTCAACAGAGAGTCTCATATGAGAAATCGGCCAATCTGGCCATGGATACTAACATCCAACAACTTCCTAATCCATCGATTCATTAGATCATCGATATATGATCGTATCATCGATGTATGATCGGATCATCGATGTATGATCGGATCATCGATTAGATCAACGATTCGGTCTAGATTCAACTGTCTAAACTGTCCTAATCATGTATTTAAACATCCATTCGTTCACTAGTTTAGCAGTTCAGATTTAATAACTTTTCAGATTCAATATTATCAGAGAAGATTCAATATCCTCACAGATTCAATACACTCTCTTTGATCTATCTTATTGATCTCGTTTGACTCTTTCATACTCAGAGAAGATCTTATGCATCGAAGGACCCTTAACGATCTGTGGTCCCATTCGCAAGAGAAGAAGAACTTCTATCTTGATTGGTCATCCTAAGGTTCTATGTGGATCCAGTCCTCTCGGACCCGATCGGATACACTGGAACTTCCCGACACATAGTATATGCCATACGTTAGCCATGCGGTGGCCTTTCGCCATAGTTTCCCCCTTACTTCGTGTTTGATTCCTATTTGCACAAAAGATGATGTATTTAAATTGATGCTTGAGGAGTGGGATTCAAGCTCCTTAAGAAACAGTCTTTGTCTCAATCTGACTTGGTGCTTTCCTCTCCTACCTAGTTAACAGGCTGTCTACCCTGTAAAGTAGATACTTCCTTAACACTTTATATACCGCTGCCCTACTTGGCCAGGACGCTAATCTACGCATAGATAATAAGAAAAAGCGCTAAAAACGCTAGCGATTAAATAGGCAGATACTATATAAAGAGGGCCTATCTGTTGAAGAAGGCCTATAGCTAGTTAAGCAGCTAAATTGGCCGGTAGAAGATAATAAGATAGGATCGCATAAGCAAGGCAAATTGCCTAATCAGGTAATTCAACCACCTACTAGGGCCCCGCCTAGGTGTAGTGGGTGTAGAGAAATTGGCCACAGGATTAATGTATGTAAAAATCGCTAGGTTTCGTTGAATTAATAGGTGTTAGTTGAATTAATCGATTTTGAAATTTTCTAATGGGGGTGGGTGGCCAGCTCGGCGGTGTTAAGGTGAAATACGTTAGTTAAACTTAAGGAGCTTATTAAGATAGCACTGCATCTAGGATTCCAGCTTTAGGCCTGTATGGGCCCCCCTTCCCGCTAACAGATCCGCTGGAGCAGGAAAATAAGGACAATTTCCTTCCCACGGGTGGTAAAGCTCCCGGTCTTTGTCATAGGACAAAGTGAGTAAGCGGGCTTTTCCCGAGCAGCGCTAGCAGAGTCTCGAACTAGAATTCCAGGAGGTGACGACTCTAATACTATAAAGTCTTCAATATTACTATAACCGTCGCGATGTCGCTATTCCTATCAATAATGCTAGGGCTCTATAATTAAGTCATCGTAGCTTGAGGAAGGAGCGTATGTACAAGTTACTCTAGCACTCATTAATCCGCTTATCTACAATCGAAAATAATGAGCAAAAGTCATTCGACTTAATATGATTATAATCTATGAGAGGCCGAGGAGAGCAGTTGATGGCTTACCAAATACCCTTTTAAAAATTGTTGAAGAAGAACCGAATGGAGGGAAGGAGCGAGGAACTTTTCCGTGATACCGAAGACCTAATCTTATATTTGCAAACCTAGGTCCTCTCTAATAGGGCCTTCCCGCAAGTTTCCATCCTTGAAAATATTATAGCTATGCAGTAGCTGTAATAGCTACGAATAACAGAACCACGAATGAGATCTGTTCTATATCTTCCGCTATCCTAAATAAATGCTAGATTGCAGTCTAAGATACACGGTACAATAGAACAGAGCGCGGGTTCCTTAACACACTAATTAATGAAAATCACTCGAAACCGAAGCACATTAATTAATTGAACTGTAAGGATATACTCTGAAGTCAGAGCAGAGGCTTGTCAATCGGCTAGGAGAAACGGAGCCAAACCAGTTGTGCAGGAATATTAAAGACTGTTTCTTGAGGAATGTAAGCCTCTTCAAGATAGACCAATCTAGATACAGTGTCATCGTTCAAAACAGCAAGGAGATCTACTCTTGGTGGGAAATGGGAGCGGGGAAAACACGAGGCTTTGTGTATCATCTACCAAGTGTCTTCCCTGCCGGAGTCCGTACACGTGTTGACGGTGAAGCCCCAGCGAACCTCCACCGAAAGCTTGCCGGCTTCTATCTGTGAGTAACCTCATATCAGGTGTATCGTAACATGAACTGAGAATTTCTATCTTCAAAAACGTTGTGAATAAGTGGATACTTAGAATTCAGTGACTTCGGATTCCGTTATGCGTCTTGTGAATACATGGAAAGTTGTGGATAAAACTGAGATCGGTAAGTTGAGTACCGCACACGACTATGGGCCGCTTCAGAAGAATTGAAATCAGCACCGGGGTGGCGTTGATACCATTTTTCTCCGCCAGAGGACGGTGAATATTTACAAATAGCTTCCATAGCTTGAGGCCACTGTTAATGTGATTCATGTAGCTACGAGACCTACAAAGTCTCAACGCCCGATACTTTCAAGTCGATCGCTTATGTACTTTATGCCTTCTGCACGATAGACATCCAAGTCCTCATACGCCAGGCTCGTAACATTGATGTTGAAAAGGATAATTTTCTGGTCGTCCGTGTCATATACAGGCCATTTAGTGGCATATTCTGTTCAATGTTTAGCTAAGGAAAATTCGGAGATCCTCGAACGCAACGCGGTTATAATGTATCAATGTGGACGGAAACATACCTCCGGGGATATTTGGATCCAGCATCGTCACAAAACTGACCCACATACTTGACATTATAGTGCTCAGGCGTTGGCGGCTGCTAAGTGGCACTTGATTGGGCTTTGCATCTGCGATATCACCAACTTCCTCAACGTTGTGGAACACATAGGGAATTTCTGAGCCGTGATTGGCCCCAACATATGGGCCAGCAAATGGAGCGGCCCCGGGCTTGAACACGTCAAACACGTAGCTATACACTGACACATTGTGAGCTGACCAGGCCTGACTAGCCAGTCTGCGGGGTGCATGAATGTTCATATCGCCTTGGAATGCGGCCACTCGCTTATATTGATCCCCATATTGAGATGGAGGTCTCCCAACCACCGTGGCAGGTATTCCTATGTCAGGAATATCTGGATAGAGTGCCTGTAAGGTCTCTGCGGTAGCATTGTTGAAACCCCAGTTGGTGACTATTTTCTCAAATTCGGTGTCCGTGTTTATACCCGCAACGGCAAAAGTTGATCCTTCGTCGGCATTGCCACCTATAAGATAAGGAACTTTGACAAATCTGCCTTCTCGGAGTTGAATAGTGGCACTCTCTTCAATAAAGTCACCATCGATGACAGGAATGAATTGCGGTCCATCAAGTCCAGTCAATGTATGAGCAGGCACGATCGAAGAATTATCAAATATCCCATGTAATGTTTCTGCTGGAATGGTTTGAAGACAAGCGAGGGTGTCCGTTGCCGAACTGCAGCCCGCGGCACTCACAATTGCATTATAATAAGGCTGCCAATTATCGGGTGTCTGATAGCCTGCATAAACGCTTGGTGCTCCACTTTCGCTAATGGCTGCACGGAAAATGCCATCATCACGACCCCCATAAGCGACTAAATGTGTACCAACACTATTAGCCCCGGCGCTTTCACCCCAAATTGTGACCTGCGCCGGGTCGCCACCGAATGCAGCAATGTCTAAGCGCAGTTAGAACAGAACATCAACCGGTTGGTTCTACATGAGACATACTTTCTTGTATCCAATGCAGCGCTAAGCGTTGGTCTCTAAGTCCAAGATTCCCAGCTCCTACCTGTTGAATCTCTTTGCTCCACATGAAGCCCCAGCAATGGAGACGATAGTTTATGCTGGTTGCTATCATAGGCCTTCCGATTTTGACTGATTGATCGACAATATATGACAAGTTATATTGTGGGTCTGATGCAGAGCCGGAGGTAAACCCTCCACCATAAATCCAGACTAGGACAGTGGTAAATGTTAGCCAATATTTCTTACGAAAAGGAAGCGGCATCTGCTAACCAGCAACCGGCAGCTTTTCTTGGCGGCTGATGCCCCGTGGTCGTATGACGTTCAAAGTAAGACATGCTTCAGAGGCACCATCTTTCTGTTGATAGCCGCGACAGGCGGGAGAGTATTGTGTTGCGTTTCTTGGAAGAGACCAGGATGTATTCAACGGCTGAGGAACGTGAAAACGAAGATTGCCGACCGGCTGCTGGGCGAATGGTATACCAAGAAAGATGTCTTGGTTATATTGCGTATTGTGGAGCCCATAATAGGTACCATTGATAACAGTGACTAATGGATGTGTTGTCCCATCATGCTCTGATCTTGTAACAGGTACAAAAGGTAAAACAATCAGGCATACAGTAAGAAGAAAATACAAAAACATCCCGAGAAAAAAACTGAGGGTGTACTATTTTTGGTTTGGGCTTTAAAGGGGGGACTCGGAGCGACATTTTCTCACTTATAGTCTTCCTCTAGTAGATTCGACCTAGCATAACGGGTTATTGTTCCGCACTCGGATAACTTCTTAGGGGCCTATTGCCGATAGCTGTCGGTAAAGTCCATAATTGGCTGTTTGCTAGCTATCAGGGTCACGGACCTTTGCATTGGACTTCCTAAAACGACGACATGTGGTTCACAAATGTCGTAGATTCTTATCTTTACTTTATTGGGATGAGGTATATGCATAGCCCTTGTGAATGACTAGTGGGTTGTCAACAGGAATACTTAGTCTCATGTTTTAAGCGCGAAAACTTGCTTTGCAACATCAAGTAAGTCAATCAAATATGAACAGGCGAGTGAAGTAGAAGTAGACCTCGCTAAAACCCTTGATGGGTCGAAATTCTAAACCTGTACCCGTGGGGCTGATTGAGATTTGAAACCCGAACCCGCCTCCATAAGACCCACGGGTAACGTAGTGCCGATAGGGCCGGAACTAGCCACCCTAGCATATTTCGTTATGGTATAACCGAGCAGCAGAATTAGTGGACACGAGGATACTGTAGAACTATCGGGTTCCAGCTCGGCGGTACCCAAAAGTTTTTTGACTAATCCTGGGTACCCAAAATATTTTGGGTCTTAATAAGTTATAAAAACTACTCTCGTCTGTAAGTATCATGATTATATAGGATATCACTAAATTTTGAATCCAAAATCCTTAGAAAAGGTTGTTGTATTGAACAATATAATGTGATTTTGAGCACTGAGTCTGGTACCTCAGCGGTACCCAGAATTAGTCAAAACTTTTTGGGTAACTAACTAAGTAACTACCGCTGAACCTTTTTTGGGTACCGCTGTTCTGAGTGCCCTAGACCTAACTGACGTATTTCACCGCCGAGCGGGCCACACGGCCGAGCGGGCCACCCACCCCCATTAGAAATTTTCAGAATCGATTATCCAACCAATACCTATTAATTCAACTAAACATAGCGATTTTCACATACATTAATCCTGTGGCTAATCTCCCTACACCCACTACACCTAGGCGGGGCCCTAGTAGGTCGTTAAATTGCCTGATTAGGCAATTCGCCCTACCTATACGATCCTACCTATTAGCTTCTACTAGTAGATTCAGCTGTTTAGCTAGTTTCTGGCGCTTCTTCTCATTAGCTACGCGTAGATTAGCGTTCTCCTAGCTAAGTAGGGCAGCGCTATGTATAACTATCGCGAATCCCTTCACTAGCTGATTTAGTAGAGGGGTAGGCGTTTAGGACCGGCTTTAGGACCGCCGATCGAGTAGATCTTTAAGTATTAAAGATTCCTTATATAGCTAAGCGATAGTTCTAGGCGTTCTTAGTGCGAATTAGCTAGAACTAGTGCTTAGCCGGCTATCGAGGGGTATAGGCGTTTATAGATTAATATTTAGCTTTAAAAGCACCCTTTCTATATTAACTAGTACTAAACTAGTAGTTACGAAGCTATTTTAAATAGTTAATAGCTTTTAGAAGACCTCTAGCCGCGCGTATTAGTAGTTATCTAAGAAATCGAGCGTTTTAATATAGTTATATCCTTAGCGAGTAAGATCGCCTATAAAGTGACTATATACCCTTTTACCCACTATAAAATAGCTAATATCTAGTGGCTATAATAGATACGATATATATATAGGTATATAAAGAGATATAATAACGTTTTCTATATAGATTCGGTCGAATTAAGGTATAAGATAGCTACTATAACTATAAAGGATTAGTAGCCGAAATCGGCCGCGTACGTACGAATTTATTAATAGGATAAAAAGCTTTTATAGCTAATATAGGCTAATTTTATCGCTAGTCTAGCCGTGAGTAGAGACCTCGATTCGCTAATCTTTTAGTAGTTTATTAAACTAACTAGCGATAGTAACCCTAGCTTTAAAGATTATATATAGCGGAAGCGAATAGCTTTTAGCGCTAATTACCTCGATCGTAGTAACCTATTCGCGATTTCCTAGTTAAAGAAGACGACGGCCCTTACCGTATATCTCCGCTCGCGTAATAACCTTCTATATAGATATAAGGCCTATCGTAAATCCTATCTTTTTAAAGTTATAGATATCCTCTAGTTATATACCGTTCTTATCGATAACGTATTAAATAGTAAGAAACCACTCTCGTAGAAGCTTTAGGTCTTCGTTTAGGGCGCGTTAGTAGTTATATCGTATTAATAAGCGTATACGAAGGTTAGGGCGACGGCTGATAAGATTTAACGGCTAATTCGTGCTAACGGTAGGTAGAGGGTAACTACCGCTCGCGGCTAGTAGGGTATTAGCTATCTCGTGTATAGTATCCTTCCTAGGCGCGACTCTATATTTATCTATAGGGAATATCTACTTAATAAGCGAATCCTCTTCTAATTAAGTAAGCTTCCGCCTATTTAGTGGTGTATTAACGCGCGTTAGCCAGCTATCAGCGCGCTTATATAGAGTAGAGTGAGGTATATTATATAGCTTAGCTACCGCGCGCGGCTAGTAGGGTATTAGTTATCTCGTGTATAGTATCCTTCCTAGGCGCGACTCTATATTTATCTATAGGGAATATCTACTTAATAAGCGAATCCTCTTCTAATTTAGTAAGCTTCCGCCTATTTATTGGTGTATTAACGCGCGTTAGCCAGCTATCAGCGCGCTTATATAGAGTAGAGTGAGGTATATTATATAGCTTAGCTACCGCGCGAATAGATTAGATACGGCCTTCTTATAAATCAGATAGAGCTAATAGGATCTTACCCTCTTATTTGGCTAGTGTGATCCTAGAGGGGTTAAATAGAGCATTATTTATTATATTCGTAAGGAAATGCGTTTAGATGAGTGTGGATCCGGTAGTAACCGGCAGAAAGTAAGTGCCTAAGGCGTATAACCTAATGTAGTTGGGTCCGTACGGGAGCTCTAGGATCATATCCTTCCCTACTTGACCGAAAATCGTCTCGATTTTCATTCCGCCAGCGCTAAATCGCTCGCGAAAGGGGCGCACCGCGCGGAATTAAATAGCAGAGGGGAGCGTATATACCAGGTTAGCCTAATTTGCATGAGTAAGTTTGTAGATAATCGCGCCTAGTGGGTTTCGAACTCGCGTGCGCGGGTTTCGGTGGCCCTAGGTCGTCCGAAAGGAAGATTCCGAATAGTATTAATAAAGGCCTAAAGTGGAAAGTACCGCCTAGGTGCGCTACTAGGCATAAAAACACCCTTCTGGCCCCGCGTGTTGACCTTTCCTCCTTTATATCTCTTATCCCTCACAATCGCGTAGTTTCATCGGACTACAGCGCTTTTCTATCTCCTTTTAGCCGCGCCAGCACCCTACTGTACGTAAAAACCTTAATTTTATCCTCCCTGTGTCACGGGCCAGTGCCCGATATAGGTCACGTGTATCACGAGACCTTGGCATATTAACGTGGAGAACGCGCGGAACGAACTTCCCCTCCTTAAGCTTTTTGTAAACAGCATATTGGCCTAGTTAGATTGAATCAAGTCTTACTTTAGCCCTTCATATATAAAAAGCTTCCTTCTACACCTAGAAGTATTATTAGTTATTTGAAAAGTCTTAGGAAAGCGACCTAGGCACTTATTAGAAACACCCCTAAATCCTAAGCGATTTAGTGACGAATATATATTAGAACGGAATCCTCGTATATAAAACTCTTAGCGCTCGAGACGTATTAGAAAGCCCTAGAAGATCTTAATTCCTAGGTATATTAGAATATTAGACGAAAAGCGACCGAAGTATTACCGGTACGCTATATAACCCCTAGTAGCTATATAGCACTAGGAATCGACGAGCCCTCCTAGGTAGGCGTAGACGCTATTATAGTAGTTAGTATAGACCTAGGCTATATAGAACGAAGAACGGGAGCGGCACTACTAATAGGAAGCTACTTAAGAAGAACGGATACGTCGCCTCGAAGTAATACTAGAGCGCTAAGCCTCACTAGCCCTAACGATAACCGCGACGAACGAAGGATAGGCGACACCGGCGCGATCGGCTACCGAATCCGTGCCGATTCCCCCACGAACAGAGATTATTCACCGACCGAAGCCCCGTCTCCTAGACCTAAAGTTATTCGGAGGAAGCACGAGCGATTAGCTAACCTAGCGAATCTCGATTAAGAATAAGCTTAGCGTAGATAGCGAAGCTATTAGTTCTCCCTAGGACTAATTTATATTTATCTTCTCTAGACTAGAGAAGCTTATATAGAAGAATACCGGAACCTTTATAAAACTCCGCCGAGACACTAGCGAACTATAGGCCTTACTCGACTACCTCGAGAATATCTACGGAGACCCGAATATTAAAGTACGCGTAGCTAGGCGACTCTACTAGATTCGGTAACCGGAAGATA